CTCTCTCTCTCTCTCTCTCTCTCTCTCTCTCTCTCTCTCTCTCTCTCTCTCTCTCTCTCTATTTCTATCTATCTATCTATCTATCTATCTCTTTCACGTTTCCCGTGCCGAGCTAAGGAGAAGGCGTCGAAAGTATCAGGTGCACTTTCGCGACGGCGAAGAGCAAGAATCGCTCGAGCGTGTTTCACGAACGTCGCGAAGAATCGAAGTAAACGTCGACGCAGATCGCGAATACCGTAAAATATAATTGCGAGACAATGATCGCGACGGACTTCCGTTTAACGCGACGAGTAAGAGCCACGAAACACCCCTTTGCTACTTGCCCGATGCAACCTGACGGTTAATCAAGCGAGCGAGGCGACGGTAATTAAGGCGAGCTCCGTAAATATGTTATGAGTGGTGAGGAGAGAGAAAGAGAAAAAAGGAATAAAACTGGTGCACCTTTCGGTGAACCGCCGGGGACAAGCGGTTTCCGGCGACGAGCGATTAAAACCCTTTCCTTTTAGGCGGAAAATTAGATTGCCCCTGGCTGTACGGCGCGAACGAGTGAGCTGGTAACGTGATTAAGGAGTCGTCTGCGGAAAACTAAGAAGGTGCGAAAAGTCGCCGTGGTAAATCTCATTTTATAAGCGGCCGCGAATGAGTCATTGTTCAAGCGACGTCAATTCCCTCTGCATCGGAAACGTTCTCGTCGTGATGGGAAAGAGAGAGAACTAGAGACAGAGAGAGAGAATGAAAGAATGAAATGAAAAGGGAAATGAAAGGATCGTCCGTCGAAAATATTACGTGACTCCCACGAACGTCTCTCGGGAGTTCGTTCACGCAATTTTTCCGCCCTGCTCCGTCGCGAAATTGACCAGGCGACGTATCAAAATTATTCAAGCGATTTCGTCGCCCGTGATCGCGCCACGACGAGGGGAATTAGAATTGATCGTCGATGAGATTCGATTCAGAGTAAAAAGTTCGAGAGTTCCGTGACAACAATTACTATTGATCCGCTCGCGCGAGCACGGAGCAGTTGGGAAATCGTTAAAGGCGATGAAAACCTAAATATCTCACGCCGTGTAGAATATAATCCGCGCGAAAAAAAAGTCTTTCATCTCCTGCGTTGAAGGAAGGTATATTTCATCGTCGTCATGTGGTAATCGACACCGGGAAAAGCTCATAGTCGCTTTCTTCGTCACGTGCCGATAAAAATTAACAACACAAAGTAGATCGATACATTGGACCCAGGGGCGAATATATCCGTTCATTTCGCATTCATTGGATGGAGCCATTCATTGGTGTGCGGA